TAATGTAAGCTCTTCAGTCGTGTGTGTGTTTTTTTTTGTTTTGTTTTTTTATTTTCACACCTAAATGAAACATATACTGGTGGATGTTGCTTTATGCTCCTTTTCCACACAGACCACGAATCCCACAAATCGCCACGAATTGACACATTTGAAGATTCGTAGTTGAATCGTAATCATTTCGTGAAGTTCTTAACTAATTCGTAATATAGTCGTAGTCAGTTCTTGCATTTCTTGAGCAATCGGGAATTCGTGTCAAGAGTTTTGAACTGTTCAAAATGTTGGCCACGAACTCCCGATCTAAAATAATCGTAGTTCATTCGTAACAAATTCGTAGTGCATTCTTATTCATCGTAAACGAATCGTAATCGAATCGTAGGTATTTTTAACTCATTCGCAGATTACTCAATTCGTGGCTGACCATGAATCGGCTACGAATCTGTCACGAATCCCTCAAGTACACGCCGAAGCAGGTGCTAAGCAAGTAAGAACTAGTAAGAAAATCAGCTACGAATGCCGACAAATTGGGAATATAAGGAGTTTAACATTGACTTCAGGTCATTAGCTGCTGACGATTTTGCCACGTATCCTTAATCAGCAAGAATATACTTAGATAAGTATTTCTGTCTTTCAGTTTTATATAATACCAATAAAACTTGAAAAAAAGATATAAAAAAGTCTAAACTTTGTTTTTTGTTTGCGATTTCCTTACCACTGTTCGGTCCGAACAGATATTTTGAGAAATGGATTGGGGCAATGTGAAGATTGAAAAAAATACATTCATGGCAGAAAGCAGAAATATTACCATAGTGTTCTAGGGACCTGTTGTGCCAGGAGTCAGTAAAGCAGTACAAGCCCTCTTGGGCTTCTTGTTTTAATAAACGGAACATTTTATTAGCGCTAACGAACATTAATAAACACTATGAACACAAATAGTAAAACATTTTAACATGAAATATCAACAGTTATCATTCAGTTAACATTCACTCCTGCTAGTCTTTCTTGCCCTCCAGGCACCAGGGATGTTGTTGTGGTCCTCATCCTCCCGGTCCACATCTGCATTTCTAATGACAGGGAACCTGATCCTCAATAAGTTGTGGAGTTTGACTCCTGTCTCCACCAGTAACCGCACCACATCAGGTCCTTGTTCCAGGGTGCCCAGGAAGCAGCATCTAAATCTGTTGGCCAGAATTCCGAAACCATTCTCCACCACACGTCTGCCCCTGGATAATTTGTTGTCAAGGCCCCACCTGCTATATGGTTACATGAGGAAAGTCCTCAGTGGAAAAGCATCATCCCCCAGGATGTTGTAGGGTGTGTCTCTGTCATCATTCGGCAGGAGATCGCTGTCAGGGAAGTCTATGGTGTTGTCATCAATGCACTCTTTCAGTTCTGAAGCACCAAACAGCTGTGCGTCGGATTGGTGACCTTCTCACCTTCCCCAGTGTCTATCCAGATAAACTTATAGTCCGCATCCAGCAGGGCCAACAGCACCACAGAGAAGCCTTTGTAGCTGCAGAACACACTGCCTGAGTTGTGTGGTTTCCTGATGGCTATGTGCTTGCCATCCAAGTCACCCGGGGCATGAGGAACTGGGACTTCTCGGCAATGGCCTTCCAGTCCTCCTGGGTCATTGGTAGTGGCATGAGGTCATCCTTCAGCTCTTGTATGATGGCCTGCACAGTCCATACCACTGTGTGATACCAGTCTCCTGTAGCCAGGTGTCTGAGGGTCATGGCTAGTTTCATTCCGGCATCAAGGGCTGGTCTCATGTGGGTGTCCCTCCTCTGGATGACAGGGCTAATCCTGTTCAGTAGCTCATCAAACATGTGGGGTGGCATTCTCATCTTCCATCCTCATCTCCTGCATCAGTCTGTTATAGCGACCATATTCTTGTTTTCTACCTAGTGTCAGCAACGGTCTAACCCACCACCTGGGTGCTCTTCTCCTCCTCCTCCTTCTTCTAGCAATCAGCAGCTGGTGTTAATACTCCAGTTCATCTCCCACGAATTGTCAAAAATAGTCACGAATTCATTTTTTCGTACCTGATTCATACGTGCATTCGGTATACATGTATTCTTAACTGATTCCTAACCTTCGAGAAGTATTCGTAATAGATTCTTTTAAATCGTAGTGAATTCTTGACAATATTCGTGCGATTCCAGCCAAATCCCACGAATATTCGTACCTGCATCGTACCTGTATCGTAACTGAATCGAATTGAACCAGAAAATTTGCACAATTCTTTATATCCGCTCGAATCCTCAAATTTATCAATTCGTGACGATTCCTGGGATTCGTGGTCTGTGTGAAATAGGTGCATTACGCCGCCTTTATCCACTTTCCAGTAATATCACGGCTCAGGACACAGCAAATGGGTTCCTCAAGGGGGGAGTCGAACCCTGGTCTTCAGTGTGACGGGCGAACGCTTTAACCACTAGGCTAGCCCACAGACTGCTCACAACGGTGCCGGTGAGGCAACATATACAAAGGATCACTGATTAACCATCTCTTACCATACATTCAGTATATAGCTGGTCTCCGCTCCACAAGTGACCGTGACAGTAAGGTGATGGTCACTACCATACTACAGAATGGACTTTTAAGTGTCTTAGCAATAACATTGCATTGTGAATTTGTGCAATGGGGTTCTGAGTATTTTTAAGTATTAAGTATATAAGTATTATCCATTAATGAAAAAGATCGTTTGTTTTGCTTACAAAGTGAGTGAGTGAGTTTAGGTTTACGCCACACTCAGCAATATTCCAGCTATATGGCAGTGTTCTGTAAATAATCGAGTCTGTACCAGACAATCCACTGATCAACAGCATGAGCATCGATCTGCTCAATTGGGAACCGATGACATGTGTCAACCAAGTCAACGAGCCCGACCACATGATCCCGTTAGTCGCCGGACGTCAGACCATTTGCCGGTTGTATCGAACCTTTATTATCTTATGACTACATTAAACCCTCATGATGCATTAAACGTTCTCCCCCAGCTATGAGAAATGTGTATTGATTATTATGTCGACTACCTTTATACAGCGTCGTAAGAGGCGACTAACGGGATCGGTTGGTCAGGCTCGGAGACTAGGTTGACACATGTCATCTTATCCTAATTGTGCAGATCGATACTCATGCTGTTTGTCACTATGATAGCTGGAATATTGCTGACTGCGGCTGTAAACACCAATCAAATGATACAGCCATAACGTATAATCAAGGAGAAAGAGCTTGACGATGATTCATATTTTTTTAATCTTGTCATATGGTTTGTTTTTGGTGTGTTGGTTCAGTTGTTCCTAGGAAGAAGATGTTGATGTCACAGAGTGAGTGAGTTAGTTTGAATTTACGCCGCTTTAGCAATATTCCAGCAATATCACGGCGGGGGACACCGAAATGGGCTTCACACATTTTACCCATGTTGGGAATCGAACACGGGCCTTCGGCGTGACGAGCGAACGCTTTACCCACTAGGCTACCCCACCGCCCCTGATGTCACAGATGTTGACGAAGAGATCATGACTGATATCAAAAACAACAAATGTGGCTATGGTTGTCAAACAAAATGAATACTGCACCATGTGGGACAATATGTTGTGTCTTACTGCTTTTACACGTGTACCAATCAAAAGCTCTTGAAACACAGATTTCATCATTATAGACAGGCATGTGAAATTTCCGCCTCCCTAGTCAGTGCTTTCTGAGATGTTGATGACGATCGATGCTGGGAAACTATGATATGACATAAACTAGCTTAACCTTCAGTTAGATGGGATGACACTGACATCCACAGAGCGAAACTAGTCTGATTGTCAAACTCAAAATATTTCCCTCTCTATAAATCTTCATTATAACTCGTGAACAAGCACTGATAAACTTGTGTGTGCGTTATTTTACGAACAGATCATCAGTAGAATGACGTATCCCGATACTGGCATATCAGAATTAAAGTGTTATTATGAATGATCAATAACAGGTCATCTTTAAACCATAGACTTTTTACATAAAGACATGTCAGCTTCCCCCTCTGATGAAACACACAGGTGCAGGCCCAGCTATGCCGTTGACAGAACAAGGAACAGATTGGGGGCAGATGGTGACTGTAACGGTCGACGGGGTGGCTGGAGAGGTATGTACTACGACAATGTGGGTATGTGGATCACTCTCTTCCAGCCACGGCAACACAACAGTTTTAACTAGTAAAAGATTTCTCAAGTCATAAAAGTTACCAACAGCAAAATTTATTATATACAATAGCAAACTTCTAACAGTAAAGACAATATGCAATCACGCCGCCCAAAGCGTTACTCTACAAGTTATAAGGTACAGTACAATTATGTAAAGTTACAACAGTAGAAAGATTTTACATGCGCTTCATTGAGTAGAGTGCCTCCGGCAAGCCGGGTGTAAACTTACAGGTTATTCATGGTTTTCTTCCCTACGATGGAGATGCAACCATCCAACTCGCAGTGATTCCTCTATCTCTTTCCACCGTTAATCGAAGAATCTCTCGTCTCCGTTATGTCTATTGTGACGTAAAATCCTAGATACGAAACCTTCTAAAACACCTCGCTATGACGTCACAACATGGCGGCGCCCATGTCGAGACGTAGCTTACCTGAGGCAGCACAAGTCAACACCAAAGTCGCTACATACATTACGCCACATCAGGTAGACTGATGTAACGAGGTGAAGAGAAGGCTTGGATCTGTTTTACATACTAATTCCAACGGTATGAGCTCTCGTAATCTAAAGATCACGGTAAACTATATGTTGCAGTGCACTGGCACGGAACAACACTACATGGACAGTGTAACTGATACCGCGGGAATAAGTATACCCAAAATACGTCATAAATAGTAAAGATATCTATATAGGGTAATTATTATCGATTACCCTGTACATTACAATGTCCCCTCTTTTATTTTTAAATCGTCTCGATTTACTGACATAAGAGCATATACATATATACAAAGGTATGGTAATTATGTATACAGTACATTCATACAGATAATAATACTGGCATAATGTGGAATTCATATTGCATACAATCAAGAAAACTTACCTACTTACCATTCCCAAGAATTATACACAATCATCACAAATATACATATATCTTCCACAGTTCCAGACTAAATACAGTTCAAAATAGTAAGGTCCACCCAGTTAAGCAGTGATCCACAGATAGTTCCAGAGAGATCCACAGATAGTTCCAGAGACATCCACAGATAGTTCCAGAGTTGCGAAGTATAACGGCAGCTTACTTGGTCATTATTCGGATGTAGGCATCAGCTTGTCTGCGCAAAGGTAACTGCTCATTGAACCGTCTGTCCTCTGCCTCGTGAAGGACAGCCATAGCTTCTCTGCCAGACCGGATAAAATCATCCAGTGTCGGTCTGGTCACAGGAATGTCGAAGGTGGTAAGCCAGCTCGGAACTGACCTGGCTATCTGTCTCTCCAACTGGGAAACCTGACATTTCAGGGCCTGTATCTCAAGCTGGGCCCGATCATAGGCCAGTTCCCACTGGTTAGGAATAACCTCACCAACGGAAACTGGTCTACTCTCTTTCTCAGTCGGCTCAGGAGCGGACTGGACATCTACTGGTTCTGCTGGTAATTCCTTCTGTGTTGATTGGGAAGCTGCCGGTGTAAATTTGGCTGCCTTCTTTGACTTCCGAGCCGGGAATGTCCATTTCTCTGGGTCCATGAACCCCTTGTCCGTTGCCACAGTTGTCCTAGCCTTCCTGCAAGCCTGTATCATGTTCTTTGGGTTGGCCCGCTTGCTGGTGTGATGCCTCATATAGTGCCGGGTCAAGTCCGGGAACATATGGTAGGTCGCTCGGCAATCCAGGACAGGACAATGGAAGATGGTCAACTGGGGCCTATGTCTCATTGTCCAGTGGCGCTGAAATGCCGGAAAGTGTGTGAATATGCTTCTCTCCAGACATGCCGGGCAATCCATTCCAGACTGGAAATGTATTTCCTGCTCTGCTTCTGCCGGAAGGTCCATATCGATGTTTGTGTTCTCATCCAGGACGAGCACCTCCTCCCCTGGGGAGGGTGAGGTGACAGATTTTTCGGTCCTGAAGATTAGAATTTACATATTACATAGTAGGTAGGATGATATAATATAAAAAAATGTTTGTTATGAACGGGGCAACAAGAGAGAGAGATCCATTCCCCATGTTATTCCAACAACAACATGTCTTTTAGGCTTTTAGGGTACTAATGATTAATCCACCATCTACAATTTAGTCTCGCTATTAAGCCTATGAACCAGTCATTCTATTTCCTCAATCAACTAATTTCTATCAGACAGCGTCCAACACGCCTACATTTTAAATCTTGATAGATTTCTAGATAACTGAATATACAGAATTCATTCGTGACGTCAGCAATTCATATCTTCTCTTAAGTTTACACCCCACTATTATCAAATGGGTATAGTGTTTTTATCTCTGAGTGTTTCAGGACAATGGACCATAGAGGCAGTGAACTCGAGCATTCTGCTTGGAATGGAACCATTTTGGTGGGTCCTTCCCTAGGTATGGCCGTAGACGGTCTACATGAACCACCCGGGGAGGATTGTTGATGTCGTTTTGAATGCGGTAGGTGATGTCATCAATCACCTTGGTGACAACCCAACCTTTCGACCATTTTGGAGTCAGTTTATAACTTAACTTGGTACTTCTGTGGGGGTTATACAACCACACATGTTGACCAACTTTAAGTCGTGACTCTCTTGTTCCAACATCCTAATGCTTCTTTCGCACCTCTGAAGAGCGCTTAAGTGCTTTCCGTGCCGATTCGAAAGATTTTCCAGCTGCTGCTTGACCTCATCTACATACTCATCCCTGGTGAGCTGCTGGTCATTAGGATCACCAGTAACCAGGTGGAAGGGCATGCGCACTTGCTTACCTAACATGAGTTTGTTTGGGGTTTGGCCAGTTGACTCATGCTTTGAGCTTCTGTATACCGCCATCACAAAGGGAAGATGTTTGTCCCAATATCGTGGTTTCCCGTCTGTGTAAATGCTCAACATGGCAGCTAGGGTACGATTGAAACGCTCGACCTGGCAATTTGCCTGAGGTCGGAGAGAAGTGGTTCTTGTTTTCACCACTCCCAACAATTTGCATAGTTCCTGGAACAAACTGGCTTCATACTGCCTACCCTGATCACTAAGTATGAATTTGGGGGTACCATAACGACACACCCACAACAATTTTCTTGGCCACTGTCTTTGCCTCAATATTTGGGATGGCAAAGGCTTCTGTCCACTTAGTGAACGAGTCAGTAACAACAAGTATATACTTGTTGCCAGCTGATGTGCGGTCCACTGGACCCATGATGTCAGTGGTTAGTCTCTCCATTTGGGAGCCGGTGGTATACTCCTTCATAGGAGCTTTTTGTTTCCTTGGACTCTTCCTGACGACACACTTGTCACACTGAAGGCAGTGATCTCGGACAGCCATCTTCATCCCTACCCAGTAGTAGGACTGCTCAGCTTTGGCGAATGTCTTCAGGACGCCAAGATGCCCTCCTAAAGGTGAGTTATGACAACCTGCAAGGATTGCTCTACGTCTGCTGGATGGTATAACTATTTGCCATTGCCACTCCTTTCCATCGTTGCTCTCCCATCTCCTATGCAACACACCTTGCCTAACTGACAAACGGTGGAACTGACCCCATAGGGCTTTGCATGCTTTAGACAGTGCAGAAACTGCCTTCCACTCGGGGCGCTTGTTTTGTTGTCTAGCTTTCAAAATTGGGCTGATATCTGGGTCTTGGAGCTGCAACTCTCTCATCTCTTCACAACTGAAACCCATATCCTTTTGTTTTGCAGATTGGGATCTGGTGATAGCAGAACAGAAAGCCTTGATGTCAGGAACCTCTACACTGCATGGTCCGTCCAATCTCCTGCATTGTGGGCATTGCATTGCATTGCTCATCAGCATTTCCTGCCAGGTCAGTGAACCTCGGTCAAATCATAATTACCAAGTTCTTGAAGCCAACAAGCCATTTGGTTCACTGGTCGCTTTATTCGCTTGGCCCAGACTACCGCAGAGTTGTCTGTTCTCACAGTCACTGGCCTGCCAATGACATAGGGATGCCAGTACCGACATCTGTAACCACAGCTAGGAGCTCCCGGCGTGTAACACAGTAGTTTTTCTCTGCCGGGGTGAGACACTTGCTGTAGTAACCTAAAACCACTTCCCTGCCATTCTGATCTTGGGACAGGACTGCTCCAATTCCCTCACCGGAAGCATCTGTGTCCAAGGTCATGGCGCCTTCCTGGGCAGGAAAACCAAGTATGGGTGCTGAGGTCAGATCCTCTTTCAGATTCATGAATGCTCGGTCAGTACACTCAGTCCACTCAAAATCAACTGAGGGACTGGTAAGCAAGGTAAGGGGTCTTGCAATTCTGGAGAAGTCTTTGATAAATCTCCGATAATAGTTTGCAAGCCCCAGGAATCGTAAAATCTCTTTGCGAGATTTAGGAGTAGGCCACTATCTAACAGAGTTTATTTTCTCTGGCTGGGTGTGAACCCCATCAGCGGAAATTACATGGCCCAGAAAGATGACTTTCTCTCTGAAGAGATGACACTTTTTAAGGTTTAACTTTAAACCTGCTACAGTCAACCTGTCCCAGACAGATTTTAATCGTAAAAGTGCCTCATCAAAGGAATTTGCAAAGACAATTATATCGTCAAGAAAACAGAGACATTCACTCCACTGTAAGCCCCTCAGGACTGTTTCCATTAGTCTCTCAAAAACACTCGGAGCATTACAAAGTCCGAATGGGAGGACATTCCACTCGTAGAGTCCTGAACGAGTGACAAAAGCTGTTTTCTCTCGATCTCGAGGGTCCATCTCCATTTGCCAGTAGCCTGCTTGAAGGTCCATCGTGCAGAACATGGTTACCCCTCCTAGACAGTCAATACAATCGTCTATTCGAGGAAGGGGATAGCTGTCCTTACGAGAAACACCATTGAGCATCCTAAAATCACAGCAATATCTCCAACGACCATCAGCTCGCTGCACTAATACAGTTGGGGAAGACCAAGGACTATTCGATTGATGAATAACGCCTTGCTCTGAGTTTTTCCTGTTGTTCCAGGGTAAGATTATTTTGTCTTCTCTCGAACAAATCTACTAAGTATTCGGGAACCTCGGGATTTACAACCCTAACCTTAGAAACTCTCTTTGGGATTATGTAAGGTTCTATGACTTTAGTCCCATAACATTGACCTATAATTCTCCCCTTAGTTAAAGTGTATGACTTTAACTGTGGCTGCTTTAGTTTCATTATGAACTATGAAGTGACTCATCATTAAACCTTGTGTAAAAAGTATGTCGTTACAGGGTTCAACAAGGACCGAGGACGTTTTTTGATTAACTCCCGGCAAGGAAACTTGGACGTAGGAAACGGAGTGAGGTGGTAGGTGAACGTCATCAGCAATGCTGTCAGTGGTTTCTGATCCAACCATTGGCAACCAACTGCCAAGCAACCGGATTCTCGACCCAGCGACGTCAATCAGACCCTCAAGTCTCTCCAACACATCTACTCCAAGAATACCATCACATTCATGGGAATTATCCACCTCTGCAATCAGGAATTCCTCCACCGTGGGGTAAATATCATCACTCACATGAACAGGTGCTTGAAAAAGACCATGGGCTTTAAACAGACTTCCATTTACAGCTTCAAGCATGAAATCCACAGAACTGACAGCTACAGATGAAGACAATCGTTTACTCGCGGCAGGGGACACTAGTGATACCTGGCTACCTGTATCCACTAGCAGGGTGAAGTAAGCCTTTCCAATCTTAAGATTGACAAGTTGGCCTTTATGGCCAATCTTGAAACAGGCTTGGAAATTGGCCTTGACAGGATTTGGGTCAGATGGAGTGAGTGTTGAAGGAGTTGTCCCCCCTTGATCAGAAACCAAACAAATTTCTCCCTCCATATGACCTCTTGTTTTTGTTATTTTAGGATTTGCGGCTCTATTTTTATCAGACTCCACCATATCCCGACCTAAACCCGGGAAGGTGGGTGATCGTTTCCCGATGGCTCGGTAATGTGGCATTTACTTGGACATTCGGATGCCCAGTGTCCAGTCCCACTGCATTTATAACAGGTACTGGAGTGTCTGCCTGTACTCGGTGAACGAGAGAGAGGAGTGCCTCGTTCCCCTGATCTTCTTCTTTCTCGGGAAAAAGATTGATGATGCTCTGAACCATTGACATGTTTATTCTTATCTCCAGATCTTTGGTGACCTGGGCGGCCTCTAGACTGAGACCGGTGACGTCTTGAATACGACTGCTGCTGCTGTACAGAGGCCAATCGTTCAACTGTCTTCTGAAGCTCCGACAATTGATCAGTCAACATCTTAAAGCGCTGGTCCTCTGATTCCTCCTCCGCCTTGAAGTGAACTCTTCTTCCAGAAGAAGGATGAGGACTGAGAGCTCTCACCGGTTTGTTCTGACCGGGCTTCCCTACAATGGACTCGTACACCTCAGCAACATCAACTGCCTCTTGAAGTGTACTGACCCCACGGTCCATGAATCGAAGTCGTGATTCCTTCCCTACAGCCCTCTTGAACGCATCAAAAGCAAATCTTTCTTGTAGTTCGTACGATAAATCAGGGTAAGCACCTTGAGCAAGACTCCAGATTTCATCACGCAAATCAGCAATTCGTTCTCCTGGCTGGCGAACACGGGTGAGCAACTCTTCTCGCCTCACATCCGGAAGAGAGCTAGCATATCTTCTTCTCAAACATTGAAAGAGCCACAAAAAATCACATCTTTGTCTCTCAGGTAAGCCAGAATAGAATCTCTGAGCTACACCCTGCAGAGCGCAACCCAACATCTGGGCGGCTTGAGTATTACTCCAGTCGGACTGGGCTGCAAGGTTTGAGAACTGTGACTCAAACACACGGTAATCACCGGTACCATTAAATTTTGGCAGCTGAAGCGAAATTCTTCCCACAGAATTATTCTTAGCAGAGCGATCTAGAGAATCAATTCTCTGTGATAGATTTATCACGCAGCTTGACAGCTGTGACACAAGACCCAATAAGTTTGAATCTGAGCTCACCATGGCAGGTGGTGTGTTTGGTGGTGGTACAGGTTCAACAAAAGATTGTCTATGAACAGGAGAATTGTTCATGTAACCTGGGGAGAATGTTCCTGGATTGATTTGCATCCGACGAGAACGTAAGTTTCCAGCAGGACCATCCAAAGGATCAGCACTACTCAAAGGACTTGCCATGACTAATATATTCAGTACTATACAAATGATTTAATAAAACTGCAAATTACTCACTATATTACTTGACATTTATAATAAATTAATTTACTAGTCACAATTTACTAGGTGATCCAAAATGGATCCCACCGCTGCCACCATAAAACTGTAACGGTCGACGGGGGTGGCTGGAGAGGCTATAATACTCATAAAAGTTACCACGCACAATGTGGGTATGTGGATCACTCTCTTCCAGCCACGGCAACACAGCAGTTTTAACTAGTAAATGATTTCACAAGTCATAAAAGTTACCAACAGCAAAAGTTATTATATACAATAGCAAACTTCTAACAGTAAAGACAATATGCAATCACGCCGCCCAAAGCGTTACTCTACAAGTTATAAGGTACAGTACAATTATATATATTTACAACAGAATAAAGATTTTACATGCGCTTCATTGAGTAGAGTGCCTCCGGCAAGCCGGGTGTAAACTTACAGGTTATTCATGGTTTTCTTCCCTACGATGGAGATGCAACCATCCAACTCGCAGTGATTCCTCTATCTCTTTCCACCGTTAATCGAAGAATCTCTCGTCTCCGTTATGTCTATTGTGACGTAAAATCCTAGATACGAAACCTTCTAAAACACCTCGCTATGACGTCACAACATGGCGGCGCCCATGTCGAGACGTAGCTTACCTGAGGCAGCACAAGTCAACACCAAAGTCGCTACATACATTACGCCACATCAGGTAGACTGGTGTAACGAGGTGAAGAGAAGGCTTGGATCTGTTTTACATACTAATTCCAACGGTATGAGCTCTCGTAATCTAAAGATCACGGTAAACTATATGTTGCAGTGCACTGGCACGGAACAACACTACATGGACAGTGCAACTGATACCGCGGGAATTAGTATACCCAAAATACGTCATAAGTAGTAAAGATATCTATATAGGAGTAATTATTATCGATTACCCTGTACATTACAATGACTAAGGCTTATAATAAGTCCCTGAATATATATAATTTTGATAATAACAATTAAACCCATTTAAATTGAAAAGGAGCCCCAGTGAGTTGTGGGATTCAGGGAAAATCTAGACTTGCTTCATTTAGCATTGCAGGGAAACTAGGCAGAAGGGAAAATAGTGTGAGACAGACTAATGTTGACATATAGTACTTACAGGTCAGACAAACGTTACTGACATTTTTAACTGAACAGAACATACTGTCACGGGAACCAAATGCTACATGAAATTACAAGCGACAAACCTGTTTCCACTTCCATACGAAATCTCTTCAACAATTGTCCAACAACGACTTTATCATGAGAATGTGCTCATGAATTACAATCAAATAGTGATGATACCAGGTGTTCGTAGAAAGGTGAGCGTACCCTGCCCCACCCTGGCAACTACCATAAACAGATACACAGGCGGCTAAATGTTACCACGAGAGCACTGCATTGTACACGAGCAAACTTCTATTATAAATGCATTGGGTCTGGAAGGGTTATTTCCCTTGAATTATTATGAAAATCATAATGAGAACCTGTGAAGATCCGGGTTAGAATTGATCTTCATTAACCCATGCTTGTCGTAAGAGGCGACTAAACGGATCGGGTGGTCAGGCTCGCTGACTTGGTTGACACATGTCATCGGCTCCCAATTGCGTAGATCGATGCTCATGCTGTTGATCACTGGGTTATCTGGTCCAGACTCGATTATTTACAGACTGTCGCCATATAGCTGGAATATTGCTGAGAGCGACGTAAAACTAAACTCACTCACTTACTGATAAATGTTTCGTGAAAGGATTACAGCACGTAGGCAGTAGGCAATGTGTGCTCCCATCCTGATTTGTTTCACTTTGACTGTTTGACTTTCTACCCAAAAATCGGCATAAAAACTCACGTGCAAGCATTTTTCAACTACCAAACAACACAAACACGAACACGAATAGATATGAACATTTAATTTGCATAACGAAGGTGTATGTAAAGCATGTCTGTCAGGGCTGTCAGGTTGCCATTGATGATAACGAGGTCGGTCTTGGTGTTCCCGCAAATGTCACCCCAAACCGTCACACTCCCTCCACCATATGGTTCCGTTTCCTGAATGCAACAACGTGCCGTCCGCCCCCACGCCGTCGGTAGACACGTCTTCGACCGTCAGTTCTGTTCATATGGAACCTACACTCCGACACATGCTTACTTGTATTGTTTATTTTCTTCTATAGTTTAAACCTTATTGTTTTTCTTTCCGTACATTGTGTATAGTGGTGTATTCTCGTAATGCTTTCACTTCAGTTATTTTGAAACAAGCAGCCTCTACTGAAAACAATGCATGTCGCTGATTGGGAAGATGTAGATTTGGTCGGCGGGCGTGCAGCAGCTTGTGGAATTGCTCGGCATTTTTGTCACGTTGAACGTTTTGGACAACGCCATGTGAATCTCCATCAACATAGTGCGACCCTGCAAGAGATAACGATATAGATTTTGAAAATGCATTGGAAACGCGATAACGTTTGGAATACCTATTGTAAATATAGAAGACCTTATACTAAATACGACTATATCAGCGAAGATGCAGATTTTACTCATTTTGAATGATAACCTACATAGTAGAAAGTCTGTGACTAAGAGTGTACCATTTGCAAATGCTATTTTTTCTTGTTTTGGCATACAGAAAATCAGCTTGAACATAAAAATTGCTATCCAAAATTGGAAAAGGCGTTATCCCAATTTAGTCTTACCCTCTACATTTAGAGTCAGTATAGGGATAACCTAAGGTGGCCTATCAGTTAAAGCGTTCGCTCGTCACGCCGAAGGTCCGGGTTCGATACCCCACATGGGAACAATGTGTGAAGCCCATTTCTGGTGTCCCCCGGCGTGATATTGCTGGAATATTGCTAAAATCGGCGTAAAATTCACTCACTCGTTACACGTGTACCAGTCCAAACATGGGTACAATATGTGATGCCCCCGCCGTTATATTGCTGGAATATCGCTAAAAGTGGCGTTAAACTAAACTCACTCATTAACACAGTCACTAGTGTCATTATACATACAGAGATTAATGAGTCTGGATTGTCTGCCGAAACAGATTTCACTGGGCGCGAAAGGCATTGGTGATGACAGCTTATAGGAATGTACCACTGGTGATCACATTGGTGTTCACCGAAAGGCAGCGTATATCCGGTCTTATCCCACTCTCAAAACAATGTGCACCCATAAAAGTACAAAATTTACAATTGAACAACTTGGTAAAACAAAACGAAGTTTACTCTGGTTACTTCTGTCTGGATAAAGCTGGAATACTACAGTACACCTTCATTATAACTGCTTGTAAATAGTGGTGGTGGGGTAGCCTTGTGGTTAAAGCGTCCGCTCGCAACGCAGAAGACCCGGGTTCGATACCCCACATGGGTACAATGTGTGAAGCCCATTTCCGGCGTACCTCGCCGTGATATTGCTAAAAGAGGCGTTAAACCACACTGTTTGTAAATGTTTCCTAATTTTTATGTGGTTTATATCAGATCTATGTGCAGTGCTCTGACGGACGATAGTCTCAGTTTCGACTTTTACGATCAGTGGAATCTGTTTTGGCAGATAATTCTCTCAGTAACATACAGTTACTCTCTGCATTGCACATATTATCTTCAGGGGAGTGTCCAACCGGAAGTACTCCATGAGAGCCTTTTGTATGGCTTTGACCTGTAAAGTAGAACAAGCTATGAAGAACATCATGACTATGTTATTCTACTCTATAAACATGTACCACTGCCTTCGGAAACATTAATCTGCGATGCAATATTTTGATCTGAATAAGCGTAACTCCCAAAGGAGAGTGAGGGTCATGGTAAAGCACATGGTCGATAATGAACCACCCGCTCATGCTGAAGCACAGGGACGATATTGGTACACGTGCATGTCTATGTGAAGCAGACCACAGTTGCGAGATTGACTTAAAAACCTGCTTTGATTCAGTGGGAATGCGTTTATAAGCAGAAGCAATTTACTCACGGAGTATGCCTTTGTACATGATGGAGTGATTCCAAAATTCTCAAGCGCCCTGTAAAAATACAAATCATGCGTGAGATGAGGTGAAGTGTGAATTCCACACAGGCGTCTGTTTGTCTGTATGTCTGTGTGCTTTGGGTGTCTGTGTGCTTAAATCTGTACGCACTATCTGAGATACCATGTCGCACTTTACCATTGATTATCCGATATCCAAGTCACACACGCACGCACGCACGCGCACACACACACACACGCACACACACTACCACAGTATACAGAGTCAATCAGTTCGTGTGTTTTTCATCATTTTGTCGACCGCCAGGCTGAGAAACAACATCACCTCCCTTCCGGTAATATCGGCTAAGGCTGAAACTACCCGACCGGGGATTGCACTTAACCTTTCGTAAAACGCTCAACGAGGACACATACCAATCCATAAGTCATTCGTTAGTCACTTCCTTTACTGTTGTGTGAAGCCCATTTCTGGTGTCCCCCGCCGTGCTATTGCTGGAATATTGCTAAAAGCGGCGTAAAAACATACTCACCCACTCACTCTTTCACTATTACTTCTTATTTTCTGTTGTCAGTGAGTTAAAGTTAATCGTTGGAAATATGCCAACCGTATACTTATTGGCAAATGCCTAGTGAGCAGGTTTCAGACGCCAAGATCAAATATATGACTACTCACATCACAATACCAGAGGTCGGTGTAGTGAAAGTAAGCGATTACAAAGTCACATTTTACACTAAGTGTATCGGCGAGACAAGGCAATTAGGAATAGTGTTTAATGCAAAACAACTCACTTTTCGGGATTAAATGCAGTTACACTGTTGAGACTCAGAACCTTTTGAAAGTACCGAAACTCGTTGTTCGTGGCTTCCAGGCTTGCTGCGCATGTACCGTGGGCTGTCCATTCATGTTTCCTGAAACGTAGTGAATACATACGGTGCATGTACATTGTATGGGTGTACCGGAGTACAGATGGTGGGTCAGTACATGGAGTTAAGATGTGTCACAGCACCATAGGTCGGTCACTGTGGTAACTGAATAAATACTGCGTTTTATCATTGCATTGTATCTGTACAATTGATCGATGTGCAATGCTCTCGCAAATTATACAACCTATGAGAGCGGCATCAGAAACACACTAATGGTGACCCTATAACAAGCATGTCCAGGCGTACATAGTACAATATTAAACGTACCACCAATGGTCTATAACAAGCAGGTGTAGACGTACAGAGTACAATGTTAGACGTACCACCAATGGTCTATAACAAGCAGGTGTAGACGTACAGAGTACAATGTTAGACGTACCACCAATGGTCTATAACAAGCATGTGTTGACATACAGAGTACAATGTTAGAGGTACCACCAATGGTCTATAACAAGCAGGTGTAGACGTACAGAGTACAATGTTAGAGGTACCACCAATGGTCTATAACAAGCATGTGTTGACGTACAGAGTACAATGTTAGACGTACCACCAATGGTCTATAACAAGCATGTGTTGACATACAGAGTACAATGTTAGACGTACCACCAATGGTCTATAACAAGCAGGTGTAGACGTACAGAGTACAATGTTAGAGGTACCACCAATGGTCTATAACAAGCATGTGTTGACATACAGAGTACAATGTTAGACGTACCACCAATGGTCTATAACAAGCAGGTGTAGACGTACAGAGTACAATGTTAGAGGTACCACCAATGGTCTATAACAAGCATGTGTTGACATACAGAGTACAATGTTAGACGTACCACCAATGGTCTATAACAAGCATGTGTAGACGTACAGAGTACAATGTTAGACGTACCACCAATGGTCTATAACAAGCGCGTGTAGACGTACAGAGTACAATGTTAGACGTACCACCAATGGTCTATAACAAGCAAGCATACAGAGTACAATGTTAGACGTACAGAGGTCTATAACAAGTTAGACGTACCACGTACCACCATGGTCTATAACAAGCATGTGTTGACATACAGAGTACAATGTTAGACGTACCACCAATGGTCTATAACAAGCAGGTGTAGACGTACAGAGTACAATGTTAGACGTACCACCAATGGTCTATAACAAGCATGTGTTGACATACAGAGTACAATGTTAGACGTACCACCAATGGTCTATAACAAGCATGTGTAGACGTACAGAGTACAATGTTAGAGGTACCACCAATGGTCTATAACAAGCATGTGCTGACGTACAGAGTACAATGTTAGACGTACCACCAATGGACTACAACAAGCGCGTGTAGACGTACAGAGTACAACGTTAGACGTACCACCAATGGTCTATAACAAGCATGTGTAGACGTACAGAGTACAATGTTAGAGGTACCACCAATAATCTACAACAAGCATGTGTAGACGTACAGAGTACAATGTTAAACGTACCACCAATGGACTGTAACAAGCATGTGTAGACGTACAGAGTACAATGTTAGAGGTACCACCAATAATCTACAACAAGCATGTGTAGACGTACAGAGTACAATGTTAGAGGTACCAGCAATGGACTATAACAAGCATGTGTTGACGCACAGAGTACAATGTTAGACGTACCACCTATGGTCTATAACAAACATTATGTATGTACAATGTTCAACGTCAAACCAGCTCCCTTTATCCGGATATTAATCCCGAGAAAACACATTTCCAGATTAACGCATGACTTGCGTATTACAGGAGTAAGTGTTAGTTGTATTGTACACTGAAAGGCCACAGGAGCATAGTAAGATCCTGTTTTCTTTAGTTGTTGCATATATGTAAAACGCTTCACGTTGTAATTAACATAGCATTGTCCTTTTTAACGCAAAATGTGTAAAAACAAGTATCACCAACCAGAGCCAGGTGAAGTTCGTGTCCACAAACAGGTTGGGCCAGCCTGTCTCTAGTTGTTTTTGGAGAGGCTGAAATATTGAAGACGCAAAGTGTAAAGCACATAGAAGTAATTATTTTATTCACTTTGAAACATGTCACATTAGCTGGTATATCTATAGACTCCCAGAAGGTACATATATATATATATATATTGTCGCGTTGTCGCCCTCTCAAAAACAAGCAAAAAGAGGCAAAATTAACCAAAACGCGACATTGTCGCATTGTCGCCCTTTGGATGAATAGAAAAATATTATTCAAAACGCGACAATGCGACAACGCGACAACGTCCCTTCTAGGATTCCATATATATCTGATCAGGGAGCAGTTCAACAATAGCACACTGGGAAAATATATTATCACACCCTACCTTGATTTTGGTCCAATTAAAATGCCAACTGCCGTTGCAGTTTTCGACTCTTGGTTCACCTATGTTTGTTGGCCTAAAACAGGATAAGAAAGAAGGCTGTTAATATTTTTAATTTATGTACATCTACTTCATAACTATCGTTAAATTAGTGACCCCTGAAACTCCGGGTTAGAATGTGTCTTCAGTAACCCATGCTTGTCGTAAGAGGCGACTAACCGGATCGGGAGGTCAGGCTCGCTGGCTTGGTTGACACATGGCATCGGTTCCCAATTGCGCAGATCGATGATCATGCTGTTGATCACTGGATTGTCTGGTCCAGATTCGATTATTTACAGACCAACGCCATATAGCTGGAATATTGCTGAGTGCGGCGTAAAACTAAACATACTCACTCACTCACACTAAATTAGTAGTAAACATTTGTATTTCAAACTTTCAAACTGCGTCATATGATCATCACAGGTTTATTGAAGTCTGTCTGGGCTGTGTTAACGAATACCCTCCCTAAGGAGGAATGGACTATTCCCGTTTTCTTTAGTTGTATTCCAATACCTGCATGTATAAATATGTGTTTCCTTAATAAATATATTATTATAAATCATACCGAGTACGTGAAATGAGTTTGAAACCGCTTCTAGCAATATCCCAGGAACACGGCTGAAGGACTTCACATTTGTACCCGTGTTGGGAATCAACCCTAAGCTAGTGCTACATCGTAGTCCAAAACCATAACGAGCGAGAAAACTTACGCTGTGAGAGAATGTGTGAGATGGATTTTACGCGTGTTGGACGTATTCAAGCTACATGACGGTGGGAGACACCACACATGGACCTCAAAAATTGTACCCAAGACAGGTACGAACCTTCGGCGTGACGAGAGAATGCCTTAACCTCTAGACTAACCACCAAGACTTCTATACCCCGATGTTATTATATAGAGAAACGAACTCGGGTCTTCAACATGACGCTTAAACCACCAGGCCACCTCACCTCCCTTTAGTCAACATGAACATGTTGTGCGTTTTAGTGCACTTGTAATCAGTTTAAACACAAATTGTGTTGGTTGGACTATTATTCAGCAATAAGTATTGGTTAACAAATAATTATGTGATGTGACAGTGTTTGGTGGGGATGTTCAAGGACTTACCACAGGCCGTGCACCGTCCATGTTTTCACTGGTTTGGGAAGGCCTTTACACGTGTGCTGAAAAAATACATTGTGACACTTGAGGAGAGGTAGATCATGTCCCAACTCGATACAAATACGCAGAGCACGTGCACCGTATTTCGGAGAAACCCCTAATAAACCTCGACCAATTATTCATGAACTCTACCTCTTGTCTGGAAGTGCAACCAGCTGGTTCAGCTATCAATTGGAGGTAATTGTTACTGATCCACCGTCAAGATATCACTTCACAATATGCGGTACATTGTACGATAAGATTGTAATTAAAGTTAACACAGCAATTCCCCCTGTTTGCTTCGATAGTACGCTAAACTAAGGACTTTCTCTAAAGTCACACTTACAAGTAACGCACCTGTCCCGACAATAGTGAGTGAGTGGGTTTAGTTTTACGCCGCATTCAACAATATTCCAGCTACATGGCAGTGGTCTGTAAATAATTATGCTAACATTTGTATATTGCCGATATCCAGCTCAGCTGAGCTGCTCAAAGACGCTTTGTTTTTAATCGAGTCTGGATCAGACCATCCAGTGATCAACAGCATCAACATCAATCTGCGCAATTGGGATACCATGACATGTGCCAACCAATCCAGGGAGCCTGACCACCAGATCCCGTTAGGCGCTTCTTACTACAAGCATGGGTTACTGAAGATAAAGTCTAACTCGGACCTTCACGGGTCCCGACAATAGAGAATTGTACCATAAAGCTGTATTCAGAATTAACTCATCAACTTCCCCTTGAGACTACTGATCACAAGTGATGATAGCGGGCCTGCCATAATGTCAGCAACCCAAAGCGATAGTTTTGTATTTGGCTACGGGAGTAATTCTGTGCAGGTGTATCAATGAATGACAGCACAACCTAAATTCAATGTCTCACCAGTACTACCTACCATATATCACACATGTAAAAAAAGCTGTTACTCTTGGGACCATATACACTCACATATCAATTTACAAAAAAATAAACAATTACAGCAAACGTACGTTCATTTGTGATGCATCATTGCAAAGAGATGGTGGCCAATGTTGCGCAAAGACCAAAAACGTCCAATTCTTGTCCCCAGTGATGGCCCTGTAATGATACAAGCACGTACCTTATATACAGATACCTCTGGGTCACATTGACCTGGTAATTTACTAATGATATGTAAGCATGTACCTTGTATACATATACCATTGGGTCACTTTGACCTAGTAGTCTAGTAATGATATGGAAACATGTACCTTGTATACAGATACCACTGGGTCACACTGACCTAGTAGTCTAGTAATGATATGTAAGCATGTACCTTGTATACAGATACAACAAGGTCGTTTTGACCTAGTAGTCAAGCAATGATAGATAAGCATATACCTTGTATACAGATACCATTAGGTCACATTGACCTAGTCTTCTAGTACTGATATGTCAACATGTACCTTGTATACAGAAACCACTGGATCACGTTGGCCCAGTAGTCAAGTAGTGATATGTAAACATGTACCTTCTATACTTATACCTCTGGGTCACTTTGACGTGATAGTGTAGTAATTATACAAGTACGTACCTTGTATACAGATACCATTTGGTCACTTTGACCTAGTAGTCTAGTAATGATATGTAAACATGTACCTTCTATACAGATACCACTGGGTCATTTTGACCTGATAGTGTAGTAATGATACAGGCACGTACCTTGTATACAGATACCGTTGGGTCACTTTGACCTAGTAGTCTAGTAATGATATGTAAACATGTACCTTCTATACAGATACCATTGGGTCACACTGACCTGGTAGTCTAGTAATGATATGTAAACATGTACCTTGTATACAGAATCCACTGGGTCACATTGACCTGGTAGTCTAGATGTGATATGTAAACATGTACCTTGTATACAGACACCACTGGGTCACTTTGACCTAGTAGTCTAATAATGATATGTAAACATGTACCTTGTATACAGATACAATTGGGTCACACTGACCTGGTAGTCTAGTAAAGATATGTAGACATGTACCTTGTATACAGAATCCACTGGGTCAAATTGACCTGGTAGTCTAGTAATGATATGTAAACATGTACCTTGTATACAGATACAATTGGGTCACACTGACCTGGTAGTCTAGTAATGATATGTAAACATGTACCTTGTATACAGATACCACTGGGTCACATTGACCTGGTAGTCTAGTAATGATATGTAAACATGTACCTTGTATACAGATACCACTGGGTCACATTGACCTGGTAGTCTAATAATGATATGTAAACATGTACCTTGTATACAGATACAATTGGGTCACACTGACCTGGTAGTCTAGTAATGATATGTAAACATGTACCTTGTATACAGAATCCACTGGGTCACTTTGACCTGGTAGTCTAGTAATGATATGTAAACATGTACCTTGTATACAGATACAATTGAGTCACACTGACCTAGTAGTCTAGTAATGATATGTAAACATGTACCTTGTATACAGATACCACTGGGTCACATTGACCTGGTAGTCTAGTAATGATATGTAAACATGTACCTTGTATACAGATACCAGTGATCACATTGACCTGGTAGTCTAATAATGATATGTAAACATGTACCTTGTATACAGATACAATTGGGTCACACTGACCTGGTAGTCTAGTAATGATATGTAAACATGTACCTTGTATACAGATACCACTGGGTCACATAGACCTGGTAGTCTAGTAATGATATGTAAATATGTACCTTGTATACAGAATCCACTGGGTCACATTGACCTGGTAGTCTAGTAATGATATGTAAACATGTACCTTGTATACAGATACCACTGGGTCATATTTACCTAGTAGTCTAGTAATGATATGTAAACATGTACCTTGTATACAGAATCCACTGGGTCACATTGACCTGGTAGTCTAGTAATGATATGTAAACATGTACCTTGTATACAGATACCACTGGGTCATATTGACCTGGTAGTCTAGTAATGATATGTAAACATGTACCTTGTATACAGAAACCACTGGGTCACATTGACCTGGTAGTCTAGTTGTGATATGTAAACATGTACCTTGTATACAGACACCACTGGGTCACTTTGACCTAGTAGTCTAATAATGATATGTAAACATGTACCTTGTATACAGATACAATTGGGTCACACTGACCTGCTAGTCTAGTAATGATATGTAAACATGTACCTTGTATACAGAATCCACTGGGTCACATTGCCCTAGTAGTCTAGTAATGATATGTAAACATGTACCTTGTATACAGATACTTGGGTACACTGACCTGGTAGTCTAGTAATGATATGTAAACATGTACCTTGTATACAGATACCACTGACATTGACCTGGTAGTCTAGTAATGATATGTAAACATGTACCTTGTATACAGATAACACACTGACCTGGTAGTCTAGTAATGATATGTAAACATGTACCTTGTATACAGATACCACTGGGTCACAGACCTAGTAGATATGATATGTAAACATGTACCTTCTATACTTATACCTCTGGGTCACTTTGACGTAGATAGTGTAGTACCTTGTATACAGATACATACCTGGTAAGTAATGATATGTAAACATGTACCTTGTATACAGATACCACTGGGTCACTTTGACCTAGTAGTCTAGTAATGATATGTAAACATGTACCTTCTATACAGATACCACTGGGTCATTTTGACCTGATAATGTAGTAATGATACAGGCACGTACCTTGTATACAGATACCGTTGGGTCACTTTGACCTAGTAGTCTAGTAATGATATGTAAACATGTACCTTCTATACAGATACCATTGGGTCACACTGACCTGGTAGTCTAGTAATGATATGTAAACATGTACCTTGTATACAGAATCCACTGGGTCACATTGACCTGGTAGTCTAGATGTGATATGTAAACATGTACCTTGTATACAGACACCACTGGGTCACTTTGACCTAGTAGTCTAATAATGATATGTAAACATGTACCTTGTATACAGATACAATTGGGTCACACTGACCTGGTAGTCTAGTAATGATATGTAGACATGTACCTTGTATACAGAATCCACTGGGTCAAATTGTCCTGGTAGTCTAGTAATGATATGTAAACATGTACCTTGTATACAGATACAATTGGGTCACACTGACCTGGTAGTCTAGTAATGATATGTAAACATGTACCTTGTATACAGATACCACTGGGTCACATTGACCTGGTAGTCTAGTAACGATATGTAAACATGTACCTTGTATACAGATACCACTGGGTCACATTGACCTGGTAGTCTAATAATGATATGTAAACATGTACCTTGTATACAGATACAATTGGGTCACACTGACCTAGTAGTCTAGTAATGATATGTAAACATGTACCTTGTATACAGAATCCACTGGGTCACTTTGACCTGGTAGTCTAGTAATGATATGTAAACATGTACCTTGTATACAGATACAATTGAGTGACACTGACCTAGTAGTCTAATAATGATATGTAAACATGTACCTTGTATACAGATACCACTGGGTCACATTGACCTGGTAGTCTAGTAATGATATGTAAACATGTACCTTGAATACAGATACCAGTGGGTCACATTGACCTGGTAGTCTAATAATGATATGTAAACATGTACCTTGTATACAGATACAATTGGGTCACACTGACCTGGTAGTCTAGTAATGATATGTAAACATGTACCTTGTATACAGATACCACTGGGTCACATAGACCTGGTAGTCTAGTAATGATATGTAAATATGTACCTTGTATACAGAATCCACTGGGTCACATTGACCTGGTAGTCTAGTAATGATATGTAAACATGTACCTTGTATACAGATACCACTGGGTCATATTTACCTAGTAGTCTAGTAATGATATGTAAATATGTACCTTGTATACAAAATCCACTGGGTCACATTGACCTGGTAGTCTTGTAATGATATGTAAACATGTACCTTGTATACAGATACCACTGGGTCATATTTACCTAGTAGTCTCGTAATGATATGTAAACATGTACCTTGTATACAGAATCCACTGGGTCACAGTGACCTGGTAGTCTAGTAATGATATGTAAACATGTACCTTGTATACAGAAACCACTGGGTCACATTGACCTGGTAGTCTAGTTGTGATATGTAAACATGTACCTTGTATACAGACACCACTGGGTCACTTTGACCTAGTAGTGTAATAATGATATGTAAACAGGTACCTTGTATACAGATACAATTGGGTCACACTGACAGGCTAGTCTAGTAATGATATGTAAACATGTACCTTGTATACAGAATCCACTGGGTCACATTGACCTAGTAGTCTAGTAATGATATGTAAACATGTACCTTGTATACAGATACAATTGGGTCACACTGACCTGGTAGTCTAGTAATGATATGTAAACATGTACCTTGTATACAGATACCACTGGGTCACATTGACCTGGTAGTCTTGTAATGATATGTAAACATGTACCTTGTATACAGATACCACTGGGTCATATTGACCAGGTAGTCTAGTAATGATATGTAAACATGTACCTTGTATACAGAAACCACTGGGTCACATTGACCTGGTAGTCTAGTTGTGATATGTAAACATGTACCTTGTATACAGACACCACTGGGTCACTTTGACCTAGTAGTCTAATAATGATATGTAAACATGTACCTTGTATACAGATACAATTGGGTCACACTGACCTGCTAGTCTAGTAATGATATGTAAACATGTACCTTGTATACAGAATCCACTGGGTCACATTGCCCTAGTAGTCTAGTAATGATATGTAAACATGTACCTTGTATACAGATACAATTGTGTCACACTGACCTGGTAGTCTAGTAATGGTATGTAAACATGTACCTTGTATACAGAAACCACTGGATCACGTTGGCCTAGTAGTCAAGTAGTGATATGTAAACATGTACCTTCTATACTTATACCTCTGGGTCACTTTGACGTGATAGTGTAGTAATTATACAAGTACGTACCTTGTATACAGATACCATTGGGTCACTTTGACCTAGTAGTCTAGTAATGATATGTAAACATGTACCTTCTATACAGATACCATTGGGTCACACTGACCTGGTA